CTTTCTTTCTTTCTTTCTTTCTTTCTTTCTTTCTTTCTTTCTTTCTTTCTTTCTTTCTTTCTTTCTTCCTTTCTTCTCTCTTCCTTCCTTCCCTCTTTCTTTCTTTCTTTCTTTCTCATTTTCGTTCTTTCCTTCCCTAACTCCCTCTTTCCTTCCTTCTCTTTCTTTCTTCCTTACCTCTTTTTCTTTCTTTTTCTCTTTCTTTCCTTCCTGCCCTCCCTCCCTTTCTTTCCTTCTTCCTTCCTTTCCTCGCTCTTTCCTTCCTGCCCTCCCTTTCCTTCCTTCCTTCTCTCTCCCTTTCTTTCTTTCTTTCTTTCTTTCTCTTCTTTCCTTCCTCCCTTCTTTCTTCCTTTCTTCTCTCTTCCTTCCTTCCCTCTTTCTTTCTTTCTTTCTTTCTCATTTTCGTTCTTTCCTTCCCTAACTCCCTCTTTCCTTCCTTCTCTTTCTTTCTTCCTTACCTCTTTTTCTTTCTTTTTCTCTTTCTTTCCTTCCTGCCCTCCCTCCCTTTCTTTCCTTCTTCCTTCCTTCTTTTCCTCGCTCTTTCTTTCCTTTCTGCCCTCCCTTTCCTTCCTTCTCTCTTTCTTCCCTTCTCTCTCCCTTTCTTTCTCTTTCCTTCCTGCCCTCCCTTTCCTTCCTCCCTTCTCTTTCTTCCTTTCTTCTCTCTGCCTTCCCTCTTTTTCTTTCTTTCTTTTCATTTTTGTTCTTTCCTTCCTTTCCGTCCTTTCCTTCCTCTTTCCTTCCTTCTCTTTCTTTCTTCCTTACCTCTTTTTCATTCTTTTTCTCTTTCTTTCCTTCCTGCCCTCCCTCCCTTTGTTTCCTTCTTCCTTCCTTTCCTCGCTCTTTCCTTCCTGCCCTCCCTTTCCTTCCTTCCTTCTCTCTTTCTTCCTTTCTTCTCTCTCCCTTTCTTTCTTTCTCTTTCTCTCCTTCCTGCCCTCCCTTTCCTTCCTTTCTTCTCCCTTCCTTCCTTCCTTCTTTCCTGCTCTCTCTCTCTCTCTCTCTCTCTCTCTCCTTCTCTCTCTCTCTCTCCCTCCCTCCCTCCCTCCCTCTCTCTCTCTCTGGCTTTCTGTAAAATTGGAAGACATTTCCTGATTTATCTCTCTCTGCTTACAGTCCTATCCAAATGCAGATCCCAGCTGTTTGCAAACTTATTCATGCAACGAAGCCCCAACAATTCTCTTATTGAAAATTGCAGTTACAGCCAGTCCTCAACTTATGACTGATGTTGGGACTGGAAGCTCTGTCACTAAGCGATGAGGCTATTAAGAAAGCCACCGCCCCTATTTTACAACCATTTTCGTCGCACTGCTGAGGTTACCTAGGATGGCTCACGAAACGTCTGCGAGGAAGCCGCCCAGCTCAGAGACCAACGAGGGCCCCCATTGTTGTATGTGCAAGAACTGGTTGTAAGTCATTTTTTCCCCCAGTGCCGGCTCATTAAAAGAACCGTCGTTAAGGCGAGGACCACTCAAGAAGCCTAACTTCATGGATGAGAAGAGCCACTTACAAACAGCTTTGAACTGATTCAAAGCTTGTTCGTTTTAGAGAGTTTTATGTCAAAGCTCATCCCACCAGGAGCATCTCTCGAGTAGGAGTAAATTTCACCTTCCACCAAAAAAGGACTCGGAGCCTGTTTCATTTCTGAAGATGATTCGTTTGGGCACGATCGCAAAAGCGTTAATTCCAAGCATCTCCCGCTAGAAACCCCACCCAGATTTTTTCCCCCTTGCCACGGAAAAAAAAGAAAATTAAAAAGAAATTGCAATAACGGAGCAAGTACCTTAAAGTAATACTGGGCAAGCTTTAAAAATGCAAGATAACAAGAATCACATGTTAGAAACATGGCAGAGAAATGCGAGATAACAGTAAAGGAAGAACTAAATTTGCACCCAAGTTCGGTTCTGTTTGTTGTTATTAAAATAGATATATAGATAGATAAAGATTTAACACTGCCGAGTATTTTACAAAACCAAAACTCCAAAGAATAAACAAATTCAAAACCAGAAACAAACCGAGAAATTAAAAAATAAAATAAAAAAGCAAGACAAAAGGCAGCCCAAAAATAAAATATATATGTACATCGATTTCATTGGAGGGCAAAAAAAATAAAATAAAAACAAAACGTTTTATTTATTGTAACGCGGATAGACTTTCTTTAGTCTTACCATTAAAGACACAGATATAAGCAAGGAAGCAGGAAGGTAGGAAGGGAAGAAGAGATTCAGAAAACAGCGCAGAGAGCCAAATCACACAGCAAACTCAACAACAAGGAGCTGAAATTACACCGAATCCCCCCCAGCAGCTTCTTACCTCCACCTTGCAACCCAGGGCCGGATAGAGAAAGGGGGAAGGGGGAAATAGGGTCCTTATGGAAGGGAAGGGGATGAGGAAGATGGGTGCAGCGTGACACCCCTATTTCTCGCTTGCCAAGGCTGCCTGTTGCCTGCCAAGGCCAGGCCAAGTGCTTAGAATCCTAGAATGACAAAGGGACCTTGGAGGTCATCTAGTACAACCCCCCACAGGAGCAGGACACGCTACAGGACCAGAACCTCGAGGGGGACGGGAGACGGGGACGACATTTGAGGTGCAACACCGTCAATCAATAATTCATCCCTCCCGGATAAAACCGGGGCGGAAGAAGGGACGTTTTAACGGATACGATACAGAGGGGACCTCGATTCACAATCGAAAAGGGAGCACGACAATTTCCGCCGCTAAGAGGAACAGCGGCTAAGCTCTGCCTCGTTTAATGGCCTTCCTTGGCGGTTAGGGAGGGTTAAGTTAAGCAGGTTGTTAAGTGAATCTGTCTTTTCATGTTGACTTGGCTCACCAGGAAGTCGCAAAAGGGGGGATCACATGACTCCTGCAACCGTCATAAGTGTGAGCCAGTTGCCAAAGGTCTGGACCCACGGGGATGCTGCAACGGTTGTGAGTGTGATAAATGGTCGTAAGTCTTTTTTTTAAAAAAGTCACTAAACAGAAGGTTGTAAGTCGAGAACTAGCTGAATATGGTACCTCGAATGGACGTTTCCATTGATTTTGAGTTGAGTTGACTACTAACTTGGAGGAGGGAGGGGCCCAAGGCCACCCAGTTAGCACCATGTCTAAGGAAAACTAGAACTCACAGGCTCCTAGTTCCTAGCAGGATAAATAACCCTCAATAATTGGGGATTTGGGTCTTTTCTGAATTAAAAATATCCTTATTATTTATTTATTTATTAAATCGATTTATAGGCCGCCCAATCCCGGAGGACTCCTTAAAGGTAAAGGTTCCCCTCGCACATATGTGCTAGTCGTTCCCGACTCTAGGGGGCGGTGCTCATCTCTGTTTCAAAGCCGAAGAGCCAGCGCTGTCCAAAGACGTCTCCGTGGTCATGTGGCCGGCATGACTCAACGCCAAAGGGGCATGGAACGCCGTTCCCTTCCCACCAAAGGTGGTTCCTNATGTTATGTTATGCACTATCAGGATATTAGGATGTTATGGAGTTTGTTTCCTCCTGTGTGGTTCAGCGTGGCTGTGCATGCCCTGTTATGCACTGGGCCATGGGTGACCCACACCTACACACGGAGTTATATGACAACAGTTGGACACCACTAGTAGAGAGGCCAAGGCAGGAGGATGGCCGCTGGCCAGGATTCCCTTTCGGTCTGTAAGGAGGCGTGCATCACATCTCCCAATCTTTCACAACTTCTTTGATGTTGAATCATATATCATCTGTCCTATTGCAATTCTTTGGTCCCATATTATAGTGGTGCTAAGTATTGCCCATGTTTTTTTTCTTTATATCTGTATATTAGGTATCCATGTCTCTCTACCTACCTATCATAATCTATTATCTATCTCATTTTTTATATCCATCCATCCTTTAGCATTTTTTCTATCTCTGCCTATCATCCATCCATCATCTCTTATCTATCTCATCCATCTATCCATCCTCTATATCTATCATATCTGTTTGCCTATCATCCATCCACCCACCTAACTTATCATCATCTGCCTATCTGCTGCTTTAACCTTATATTTGTGTTTGTATGTTTAATGTGCTTTACAGTGTTGTACATCAGCAATTGTATGACATCTGTAGATGCCATATGCTAAATAAACAAACAAATTTAACAGCTTAACACTTTCGAAGTTGATGTGCCTTTAAATAACTCATTCTGGCAAATTATCATCAGGCTGGCCAGCATTGTTGTTCGAACAAGTCAGGGTAATGATGATTTAAAGCTGACCAGCCAATGTAAGGCTGTAACCTGATGATGAAATGAGGATGAGTCAGCAGAGGTATTGCCACTTTAAGAAGCCGGATTATTGCCCCTTTAAGAAGCAGTCTATATAAAGGAGGCCATGAGAGACAGAGTCTATCTCTCTCCTAATGTATCTCTCTCCTTGTGTCCGGTAAATTCTAATTTCTCAGGTAGTGTTAAGAAGATTGATTGCTTGTCAGGTATTTGCTACCACGTATATTTCTGTATATGTTGTATATAAATCACTGTTAAATGTGGAAGTCTCTGTGTGCTGTGTTTTGCTCTTGTCTCCTAATAGTAATCACGCTGCACGAGGATATCAAGCAGGACGCAAGGCTAATGAGTAGAGAATAATCCCTTTATTAAAGATACAGTACAGTTGGTTTAGTTTAATACTGATTTCCCTGCTTTTTTTTTTATGACTATCCCTATAATACATTCTTTACTCCAAAGTTCAGTTACATTGATTTATTAAAAAAAAACCTCATAGGCCAAATACTGATTGTAATCTGGGAATAATTAATAACTAGCACAGATTATGTGCCTCTCTCTAGATCTGTGTGTGTGCGCGTGTTAAAAAGAAACACAGATAAACCCAAACATGGTTATAGAAGAGTTAAAATCTTCCATTATGCAAGGAAGGCTGGTAGTGTTTTCTTTACATTTCTTTTTGTGACATTCAAAAGAAGAGAGCAAAACCAGTGCGGTGGCATCTTTCTCTCTTTCTCTCTCTGAGTATGCGGCATTTACTCGGTAAGCATTTACTCAGAGTGACGGAGTAACTCCATAGGAACGCCCCGGGCACTAAATTAGCATGAAAACTGAATTTCCACTCAGAAATCTGCTCCGTTTTATACTTCTTAAAATGTTCTCATAAGGTATCCGCTTCTTAGAAACTTCCCCTTATTATTTCAACATTGAGTTTCCCATTTTACATTCACCTGGAACAAAATTCCAACTCAGGGGAAAATAAATAAATTACATCTTAAATGTAATTACATCTTAAATGTAATTTTTAAATAAAAAAAATGGTCTTGATTTCAGGACGGACTTTCGATGAGAAAAAAATAATCCCTTGCAGGATACAAACTGTAGCCGGAAGATTATTTTTTTTTGTCCTTTTTTTGGTACATGCAAACTTGCCCCGTTATCCCCCCCCTCTCAAACCCACCCACCTAAATTCAGAAAAGTTTTTTTGAGGCTGTTTTAAAGTCATTGAATCAAGTTACGGTACACAAGAGCCCTCATTTTTCAGAATGACAGAAACACTAAAGACAATCAGATTGTTTTCCAAAATATAAATCTTTGTTTTTCTTAAATATATTTATATATGTACTTATGTACAACTCTACAGAAGCTGAAAAAAACAGGGGGGAGATTTCTCAAACGCACAGCTGGAGAGGTTTTGTTAGGGGAAATATATATATACATATATATATATATATATATGTTTTCTGAGGTTTTCGCGGGTGTTAGTATGTAGCTCTCTAGTTATTCGGGTTTTCTCCCGCGTAAAATTGGAGATGTCTTGGCGACGTTTCGACGAAGTNTTTTTCCCTTTCTAAAGTGCCCCAGAGCTTGTGTGCAAATCAACTCACCTCTTTTTCATCTCCAGCAGCTGGTTATTGAGGACAGATCTCTCTTCTTCCAGCTGGAAAACCAGAAGAGAAAGGAACGGGGGAAAAAATAGGGATTTTATTTTTATTTAGGACTCACTTTCAAACCATGTACAGGGATTTTACTTGTCCATTAAGGACTCACTTTCAAACCATGTACCTTAAAAAAAAAAATTCTTGGGAGTCTTTGAATCTATTCCACATCTTTGGAATTTAAAAAAAAAAAGGATTTTATTTAGCTAGGCTTTTTGGAACCTAGTTATGCAAGCAGCCCTCCCTTCTTATAATTTCATTCATTATTAATTTCGTATTTACAACACCACCCACTTCTGAAGACTCCAGCAGGTTAGCGGATCCAAAAATAGAATTAAAAACATGAAGCAAAACATGGCAGCCCTCATTAATAAACTCAACCACAGCAACAACAACACAACACACAAACACACAAGGGAATAGACCCCGGCCTTCCTTCTCATAGACTTATTTATGATTACAAATTTATGCTTTAGAAAGACCCCCCTTTTAAATCATATCTCTCCCACCTTCTTCTTGGCAAGGGAGCATCTTCCCAACCTTAAGCCCCATTAAGACATTCTACTGCTCATGTAAAAAGAGAGCAAAATAAAAGATTGTGAATCATTTAAAGATCCAAAACCTCTATCCTATTAGGCCAAGAATATGCCAGAATCTAAAATAACCCTCTTGTCAAAAGCCCGAAGAATCAGGAACAAACATATAAGTTCCAGTTAAACTGCTGGCTTGGGAATTCTGGGAGTTGAAGTCCACACACCTTTCAAGGGGTCGAGGTTAATAAACACTCATTCATTGCCCTTAAAGCGAGACTCACAGCACAGCTGTAGGGATTTACACACACACACACACACACCAACACTTCTTCCACATAATCTTCTCCTAAAAAGCCATTTCCTTCGGGTGCAACTTCAGAGTGGCTCTCCGTGCATCCTTCAACACCTGCCTGGTTTCCAAATCTGCTCCAGGAAAAACCATCCCACCTGGGAGTTGTGGATGCCAACGTCCTAAGATATATTTAGGAGGTGCAGGCAGGGCCCCCCACCCACCCCAGTTTTGGGTCAAGGTGGCATCCGACTCTCTTAAAACAAAGGGCTTGCTTTAATTCCCCCTCGCTGGGGAACACGGTTGCCTCCCTGAAAACTTCACCCAAGGACGAGCGCGAGATTCTTTGTTGCCTTAACTCCTAACAACATGCCCCCTGACCTTGGCACCACAGGAGGTGCCTTGCCCTCCTCCTCCTCCTCCTCCTCCTCCTCCTCTCTCCCACACCCACCTGTTCCAGCATCTCCGGGACCCTTCTAAACTCTCCCCCCCACCACCACCACTTCCATCCCTTTCCCACCCAAATCCGAGGCCGAAACATCGACCTACCTTCTGGTGACTGGCGAGATCCCCCTTTCCCAACTCTTTCGCAAGTTTGAGGTTCTCCTCCTGGAATACGGCGAGCTGTTGGGATTTCTCCTCTTCCGCCAGTTTGAGGATTTCTCTGGGAGAGATGGGGAAGGCAGAGAGGTTACCATAGGAACGAGGAGGGGGCGAGATGAGAGGGAAGACAGGCTGGCGTGCAAACCCGCGTCACGGCTTGACGAGGCCGCCGAGGTAAAGGAGCAGCCCACCCACCCAGGTATCATTCACCAAAGAGCACACACGGGCTCATTTTTCTCGTTGCTCGCTTTGGAAACAGACCCCCCCAATAAAGCCATCCGAGTAAATCCTAAATGCTCTTGCCAGATCATCCGGTTATCGGAGGTTATAGGATGCTCCCTGCTACGCTGGGTTCGAAGACCGCCGGCCCGTGCCCGCTCTCTCTTGGCTGGCAGCCATCAATTCTGCCAAGCGAGCAGGGCTGGTTCATAAAAGCTCCATTCACTAAAACATCCCGTTCAGGCAGGCTGACGGACGCAACGGCGGGCCCTCACGCTTTGGAGAGGGAGGGAGCATTTACTCCCGTGGGAGGCCAAGCCCAGGACGTGTCCAAAAACCGTGCGAATTTTGGGTCCCCGAGCATCTTCCCCAGCCTGGAAACGCCGGGATATTTTTAGAGCGCAACGTCTCCCTGTCAGCTGCATCTCGAGCGGCGTCCTACATTCCTCGCCAGGGAAACGAACTCGCTGCGAAATTAGATTCCTTGCTCTCTACATTGGCCGAAGCGAGCATTTTGGGGAACAGTTTGATTTGAAAAAAGTCTGGGCTTAAACCTAATCAAAGGAGGCAGTGGGAGTTACCGTTTGCCTTCTCCGGGCTGCCGTGCGCGAGCTGCACGCATCTTCAGGCTCTCTATTTTTAGAAGAGATTTGATGAGATTTGCAAGCAGCCGGGCGTTAGATTTGTAGGGGGGGGGGGAAAAAAGGGGAGGGGGATTTTATACACACACACACACACACACACTCCTAGACACTAAAAAACGCATTTTCTATAGTGCATAACGGGAAGGGAGCCTCGGAATCGCCGTCCGTGAAGAAGAAGGCTGCCGTTCTACTCCCCGATTTACGCCCATCCATTTTAATGTCCTTTCAAAGTGAAAACAGGACTGAAAAAGTTACTTCTGACCAATCCTCACACTGCGGTGGTCCATGGCCAAAAAATTGGCTTTTCCAGCAAGCCGGCCTGGCCTGAACAAAATAAAATCAACGATTGATTTAATTGTTAATTTTAATCTAATTTTTTTTAAAAAAAATGTTACTGTTAATATTAATTGGGTTTGTTTTTGGATACTCTTATCTAATTTTCTTTTTAACTTTTGTTAATATATATATATATATATTTAATGTTGTTCGCCGCCCTGAGTCCTTTGGGAGAAGGGCGGCATATAAATCTAATAAATAAACAATCAATCAAAATGATTGGCGTTTGGCAACGGGTGTGTATTTAACGAACAACTGGGGTCATTTGCGACTTTCCCAGCTGGCTCCCACCCAGGAAGGCAAACAGTAGCGGAGTTGGAAGGGACCTTGGAGGTCATTTAGTCCAA